ACGTGGTCCATGTGGCAAAGGCCTGACCATGAGACTTACTCAGAGACTTTATCCTCGAATTAGTCACCCAGACGCAGGGTAGGGCCAATAACGCCTCGGGTGGCACAGATGGGGTAGCAGGGGTCGAGTGAAATATGCGAACCAGAGAGAGGGTACACGGATCTTACGGGGCAAGAGAGACTGTAGTAAGACCTAAGGCAGAATGACTGCATAAAAATATGGCAGATTCTGATGAGCATTCACAGCACAAGGATAAGGGGCGGTATGAAGACCAGCGTGGAGTGCGGATGGTTCTCATAAAAGCAGCTAAAAAAGGGCACACCGTACCACATTTAATTAAGCAAGTAAAATATTGTGACAGTGAAGGCGTGGTTTTATGTTATAGGTAATGTGATAAAGCAGGGCAGAACGGGAGATATCATAACTGTTTAGCACACGTTTGGTCAATGGATCGGCTTCACTTGTCTCTGCTTAAGCAAGTTAAATATCGTGACAGTGAAGGCGTGATTGGAGGTTATAGGTAATGTGATAGGCCAGTGGATAGGAAGATATCATAACTGTTTAGCACACGTTTGTGGTTATAGGTAATGTGATAGGCCAGGGCAGAACGGGAGATATCATAACTGTTTAGCACACGTTTGGTCGAACGATCGGCTTCACTTGTCTCTTTGACGAGTTGTAATATGGTGCTACGAATGGTAAAACTCACTGACGATGCCGATTACGATGCTGGCGAAACGTCTTGGAATGTACCGCGTCCACGGTCCGACTGGAAATAATTATGCATACAATGAATTCAGGACAAGGTATAAAAACAAGATTAAACAACTTCAATTAAATTGATGTTTAGGAAAATGTAATGACCACATACATGTCGATAAATGAAGTGAAAAAGCCATATCCGTAATGTGAATAACATGATTCGATACGACCACAATTAATTAGGCATCAATAGTAAAAAAATAAACCAGCAATATGAAATGTGAGGATAAATTGTGACTTTAACGTATTCCGCTCCTAGATTGCAGTTGAAAGCGGATTTAAGCTATTATGATGTCCTTTACTTTTGAAAAATATATAAAAAGCTACAATATAAATCCAACTTGAGGGACCAAATTACAAAATAAACGGCATTATGGACATACAAAAATAACTCATTGGGACAATTTCATGGCGTAACTTTAGGCGACAAGAAGTTCGGCAAAGGCCAAGATCACAGATGTACGGCAGAACCATAAAAACTACCAAATGTTAAATAAATGTAAAAATAAAGCGAAGCTTACCGAGAGCTACTGCTTGAACTGGAAGAATCAGAGGAACCGTAACTAGAAGACGAATCTGAAGATTCGTGTTGGCGCGTGACTCGTTCTGCGTCTGGTTTGTGCAACTTGTCAGAACTATTTTCCTTCACTTCATCAGGAACTTTATCTTTAATTTTCGATTCATTGCTTTCGCTATCTTCACTCGCTCCCCAAACATCATATTTAGCTAGATCTGCTTCGTCTCCAGATTCTTCTTCCTCTTCATTATTTTCTACGGAATCTTTATCCGATTTCGATGGTTTGGTCCGTGAAACTTTAGTCGACGACTTACTATCTTCATCGCTTTCACTTATGTCAACCTCAGAAGACTTTAAATTAGAAGCTGATGTTTGCTTTCTATATTTCTTCTTTTTTCTACCAAACTCATCGAACTCGTCATCTGATGAGTCGTCTCTTCTTCTCTTATACTCGACAACTTCATCGCGTTCCATAAAGCCACCACCGAATCCTGTTCTTTCACCAAGGGTATTAACTTTTGGAGCGTTACAAATATTACAAGTGGATCTGCGGGCCCAATTAATGTTGCCGCAGCTACAAAATAAAGTTGCATTTCTATTTAGGCAAAATAAAATGGAGAGCTGCATATCAGTTGATAGATCAAATATATAAACTTACAAATAAAAGATAATCTGAGAGCTACATAAAGATGAGAAAGAAATTAAACTCTAGTCTAGTAAGAAGGGCACTTACGGACCAAGAAATTATTTTAAAAATCAAATATTATAATATACCATTTAATACAAATTAAAGATTTATAAAAGCTAAATAATTTAAAT